GCGCCATTGCTGCTCCCCCTCAGGGACGCCGCTGCAGCGCCCCCCAGCGGCCGGGAGGAACGCCACAGCCCCTGTTCCCTGAGAAAAGGAAGAGGAAAAAAACCCCAGTTTTTTTGAGGTTTCCCCCCCCCAAAAAAAGCCTTAAAAAGCTCCAAATACCCATAAAATGTAAAATTTTGACAACTCTCCGCTGCTTGAAGATTCGCTTTGTTTTATTCAAACGCCAGAGGTGAAGTACAAACTGTAGTTACACAGCGTTTTGTTTCCTTAAAAACAGTTCTTGGTTACATAATGCCAAACAACTTTCAAAACTAAGTTGTTGAACAGTTTTGCCTAAAATGTTGGGGGTTTTTTGGTTGGTTTTTTTTTTTTCAATCCATTTAAAAAACCGGATTTGAATGAAAGAATTAGGAATTAAAAGCGGTTATGTTTTTCTTCACTCTACAAACAAGGAAGGTGAGGATGCAGTTACAGATAGTTCACTACAGATTCCCATTCTGAGGGGACCAAGCTTCTCCTAGAAATATCCTCAACTCTCAACACAGCTTTTTCCTGAACTATTAGTGGGTCATTTAACCTGAACAAACCTGAAATCCTAAGGGAAGTATCTGTTGCATCTGGCTGCATGTCACACTGCTTCTAGGTAAGAACACAAGAATTACAGCAAATTTACATGACAAAAATTAACAACAAAAATAAGGTCGACACATCTGCAGTATCCTTTCCTGTCCTAAAACACCCACTAGACTGAAAAGAATGATGAAAGTTTTATTTAAATAGCATGAATTAAAATTTTAGGGGGAAAAAAAAGGTCAGTAAAACTTAAGTCCATGTATCACTGAAGGACAAAGCAAAGTTGTAAGCAACAATTTTAATTCCTGAAACAAGTCAAAAAACATACAGGTCCTTTAGTGTTTGGGTTGTTTTTTTTTACAAAGACTTTCCTAAAGGATTGAATTTGTTTTGGTGTAGGACAGAAGAGGGAGGATTGCTTTGCTGTAAGACTAAATAAAAATCAAAAGACAAAAAGCACAAGATGCAATACTAGCATTTGATCATATAACTTAAAAAGCACTGTGGCATGTGAACAATCACTACTGATTACATCAAAAATATTATACATTTACTTCTTTCATCTCTTAACATTATAAGATAAGGTTGGGCAAATACCTGGCACCAAAAAATTGATGCATGATAGTTCCAATACGTTAAACAAAATGTACTATATTAGAACATTAATAATTAAAAATTGATATTGACTTCTCATCCAAATTCAGATGGCTTACCGCTTCCTAGAAATCCTCTTTACCCTTCTGGAAAAATTAGCAAATTACTGATTTCACCTTCTTTCACAGTATTCAAGGTGACTGAAACTTACTCCTAAAGGAGAGGTGAAGGAAAGGGTATTATTATTTCATATTGCATTCAAATTACTGTAACAAACTAGAGTCACATTTTAGCAAAATCTCCCAGCAGTGTCACAAAGCGTTGTCCCAGTTGTCCCAAAATGCTGTGGCAAGGGCTTCTTCCCCCACCCATGTAACAAGTCACTCCAGCACCCCTCGGGGTTTCAAACACCAGGAAAAAAAAATCTAACACTGACCTGAACGTAACCCCCTGTGAGTCATACGAGCTAATAGTTTAATTCACCCTCTACTAATAATTAATCTCGATTTCCCATTTGGAGAGTAACATTATTGTCAAAAATCTTAACTATTGGCAGCATCTGCATTGCTGGTTTAATTTCTAGCAAGAGCAATCCAGGTGCTGCTATCATCTGCTATACATTTTAATTGAACAAGTGGAATATACAATTCATATTTGAAAATTAAGCCGTCCAAGTCCACGCAACGTCCATCGAGAACAAATGTGATGTCGCAAGAAAATACACGATCTGATTTATCTACTAAGGTTCCTCAGAGCGTATCCTATCCCGAGATAAGATCCAATGCCTTTAGGATCAGACTGAAGCCAGGGGCAATCGTAAGGAAAGAACCAAGTGCGCTTTAGGCGGGCGAGCTTTCTGACAGTATTTAATGGTTTGCAGCGTCTGCTTGTCGAGGCCAGCCTTCATCCTCAACGCCAGAGTCGTACTCTTCTTCAGATGAATCTTTAGTGGGAGCCCTATAATTAAAACAAACTGATCAGATACTTTAGAAATTAAAGGAAAAAAAAAAAGAATGGAGAGATTAAGTTTCCAAAGTTCCTGGTAAACATGCCACCTGCAAAGTGCCCTGATGACAAACGTTCTGACAAGCATCCAGCTGCTAAACAACCTTCTGCTCTGAAAATGGTGCTGTGTGGATTTACACTGCCACCAGCATGCAGTCTCATTACTGAAAATCAAAAGGCTACTAAATTCAGTTCAGTTGTTTTGATTTAAATTTAGTATTCCCAGCAAACATGAATGCTGGTGCTCTACAAAAAATCAATCAGAGCAACCATCAATGGTAAATATAATACTTTCCACTCCAACCAGCCTCTTTAAAACATTAAGTGTGCTGAGCCAAGCTTCAGCACAGACACAGGTGAATCCAAAGCAGAGAAAATAACTCAAAAAAGTTGTCAGAGGCTTTGAGCAACCTGGTCTAGTGGAAGGTGTCCCTGCTGATGGCAGGGGGGTTGGAACTAGATGATCTTTAAGGTCCTTTCCAATCCAAACCAGTCTATGATTCTATGAGGTAGAAACCAAGCCAGAGTTCCTAAATCTCAGTCCTGTGCTTTTAACCTGACCCATCCCCTCTCAACTCTGTCCTTTGCTCTCCAAGATTTTTTTGCATTTCTTTTTTTTAAATCTATATTTGTCCACTTCTTTCAGCGCTCTACCACATCATTACTATAATGCACACGTTACAACATTTAAATTTAAGCTGAAAGAGGAGAGGTTTAGATTAGATATTAGGAAGAAGTTCTTCACTGTGAGGGTGGTGAGACACTGGCCCAGGTTGGCCAGAGAAGCTGTGGCTGCTCCTCCCTGGAAGTGTTGAAGGCCAGGTTGGATGAGGCTTTGAGCAACCTGGTCTAGTGGAAGGTGTCCCTGCTGATGGCAGGGGGGTTGGAACTGGATGATCTTTAAGGTCCCTTCCAACCCAAACCATTCTATGATTCTATGATTCTATGAAATTAATTATTTTAACAAGAGTTCAGAAAATCAATAGACGTGCCTTCTTGGCTGCAAGAGCAATGGAGAAGAAAACTGCAGCAGTCTGGAGCTTGTGTGAAAAAAAAAATTAAAAAAGATTGAACAACAATACAAAAAAACTCCCCAAAACACCTCAGAGTGGCAGAAATAAGGAAAAAGCTCTGTTTCAGAAACTTTAGTACAGTCACAATTAAACTTCAGATTTTTACTGTTACCTTCTGATGTTTATAATTTACTTCCATTGCTACAGGTATACACACACACACAAAAAGCTTAAAAGTAACTTCATATATAAGTTTATTTTTTAATATGTATTTAAAAACTAAACAATACAAACCCAAAGCCTCTAGACAGAACAGGGACTAATTCAGCTGTGTACAATATACAGAAAATTGGATCTTTTTCAGGTTGTGTGCATGGTTTTGTGTTTATAGGCTTGTTCCTACAGCAAACATCAGAATACCTGTCTAGCTGTATAACTCGTCTGTTCTGACACTTCCAGTATGGTTTTACCTAATGTATCCTGGCTCTTTTTTGCCTTCTACAACATCTTTGTCAACTTCCACGCATACAATGTCAGAATTGGGCACTTCAAACATGGGCTCCAGCAACAGCTTTTCCTACAAGAAAATAGAAGGGAAAAAAAAAATACATATATATGTATTTCTGTATGCCCTCTTCTCCCTAACAACATGGTTAGCAAGTGATTGTCAGAGCTAGAGGGTTTTCTTGAAAGAAATCTAAATACCCACAGTTTTAGAAAGAGACTTATTGTATCCATATAAGAACCAGAACTAAGTGAGGTTTTGACTGAAAATTGTCATGATTAAGTCCTTACACATGAGCTTCATTTACTCAGTATGAGACTTAACTTACTCACCATTATAGATCGAAGACCTCTTGCACCAGTTTTTCTGTCCAGGGCTAGTCTGGCTATAGCCTTCAATGCATCTTCAGTTACATTTAATTCACACTACATAGAGAAAAATGGGAAGTTCAGTTAATTGTTTCATTTATAACTCAACAACATGTTGAGTGCAGCAACACAAACTTTACTGAAAAGAACCAGCAGTAGTGATTTACTTGTTATAGACCTGAACATTTAATATTTAAGCTACATAAAGCTTCGGCTACACTTTGCTTTTGACTAACATTACTGGTATTGACTATGTCCCTTTACCTACAAGTACCTTTACAGCACCTGAAGTGGCTCTTGATGTCTGGCAAGGTCGTGGATGTTCATTTCAATGTTAACATGAAGAGCAGCTCAACTACTTCCAGATTACTTGCCCCACAAGGACCTTTATCCAACCTAAACCAGTCAGGTCTGAATGAGTAAGCTTACCTTTCCCCCTCCTCCCCAGAATGGGGAGGTGCACACATGGGAGGAAGAAGTGATTTCAATTGGTATTTTAGATCATTTTAACACTGTATTTATAAACAAGAATATTGAAGAGTTATCAAATAAAAAAAAAAATCAAACCTTATCCATGCTGAAAAGTGCCTGGTATTGAGGAACCACAGCATTTCGTGGCTCAGTAAGAATCCGTACAAGGGTTTTCTCATCTAGGCTGTGCAGAGGAACCACAACGGGCAAACGTCCCACAAACTCAGGGATCATCCCAAATTCTATGAGATCTCTGGCTTCTACGTGACGCAGCAAGCGATCTTTTTCTTCAATATCTTCATGTGGATCAGACTCTCCACTTATATTTGCAAGATCAGCAGCTGCTGCAGCTCTTCTGCCTTTTCCCATATTAGCTGGTGTCCCAAATCCTAGATACTGCAAAATAAACATGTTATGCTTACAGAACTAGAATAACTAAGTTTCCTTGATGTAACTAAATAATGTTTTCATGTGCATTAAAAAAAAAATTCTGGAGTGACTGATTATGTCATTACATTTTAATTCAAACTCAAGAAATTACTTATAGTAAAATGAGACTCCTTGCACACAGTCTATTTCTTATAACATTTATTTCCCCCCTCAGTAAGGGGTCCCATCAGACTGAGTATAAGAGTAAGTCTTTCTTATTACAAAAAAAGGTTAGTAACACATCCTGGTAAGTTTCCAAATACCAGTGACACTCAAAAGGGCTCTTCCAAAATGAAGCAAGTGTGTACAAAAATGTTTATGTGAAAAGCTACATGAACTATCACAAACAGTGATTTGGATTTCAGTCACTCTTCTGTTAGAAACAGGGGGTGTCAGAAAGCTGCAGCCAGAACTCTGTCCTCAGACATTAATACACAAAACAGTGAACTCCATGACTAGGTATTTTAAGAAGATGATAGCTTTTAACATAATTTGCTCAAACTGAGTATCAACAACAAAAGCTTTTTTCTACTGACATCCAAAAGTTTTCTCAGTTTCCTATTTCGTACACTCCAACTGAAAAAAAAAATCCTATTATAACTGCTGGAACTGTTTCACATATTCTGTTTTTAAGAAATGTAAAAAGTTTACCACTTAAGTGTGTTGGTAAGGGACTTGCTGTCCAGTTTTCTATTTTTCTTTCTCCCCCTTTTTTTCCTTATTTGCATATGCTAAAAATTTCTCTGTGGAAGCAGAGACCACTGCAAGCTATTGAAGCCTACTAACCATAGGCTTGCTCTTTGCTACCTTTCTTAGGTCTGACCTCAGGTTCCCAGAAAACAGATGGAAAACCAGTGCTCTACAGACAAACTTTGTGTGTTTACAAATATAACAAGACCTTTAGGAGTCAGCACTGTGAACAGTAATTAAGATAAAAATTTGTCAGTTCAAATACAGCCTGATGCACTCACTTTTTCATTTTTCCTCCTGCTGATAATTCTGTCAAGACCATTAAAAGCACCAGAAGCTACAAAAAGGATGTTTGTTGTGTCAACCTGCACCGTTTCTCCACGTAGTTTACGAGAATTCTTTTCTGGAACGTTTACTATTGTGCCTTCTAATAATTTTAACAAGCCCTAAGAAGGAAAGAAGAAATAAGCAATATAAAATTTCACTGTATAGCATCATATAAGAAGGCACACCATACTATGGTTACTTTCAGAGATGTATCTGCATTTTTTAATCCCTTATGCCCTTATGTGTCTAAAGAAATCAGTTTTCCATACAAGAAACAATCCCATTCAAGGATAAAAAAAAAATAAAACATCTTTTTTTCATGTGACTCTCATGCACATCATGAGCTGCACTTAATAATGAGTTGCTTCAGGAGTTTGGACAAAATGGAAGATGTTATCTATTCTTGTCTCCATTATGCAACTTGCTATTTGAATGCTGCAAAGACTTTTTTTCAGTTAAAAAATTTCAATGAAGCAGTCTCAAATTGCTTTTGGAGATTTTTTTTTTTTTTAATTAAGAAAGTAAAGAGGAAATTTCAAAGGTTAATAATTAAGGAATTGAAGAACTATGACTCTATACACTCCCATGCTCTTTGATATATGATAGGATATCATATATCAATATGCTAGAATATATAGAATATATGCTATTTGATATATAATAGAATGAGACACAGATTCAACGGGCTGTTCACTTACAAAGTAAGTGAACAGCAAAAACAATCACTTCATGGAAGTACTTACTTGTTGAACACCTTCTCCTCCAACGTCCCGTAACTGATGAATACCAGGAACGCTGCCAATCTTATCTACTTCATCCAGAAAAACAATTCCTGCAGTTACAGAAAAGGGCTTTAAGGAAGACTTCGTGTTTTAAAAGAAGCAAGAATTTAGACACAGGGAAGAACACAATTTAAGACAGTTGCAATCTGTTTTACTTCCATATTGTAGATTGGAAAAATATATGAGCAGAATATAAGCAAAACTATGGACAAGAACAATAACTACAAGGTAAGTTTGGAGCTCTGCTCTTATTTCTGATTTAAAGTGTTAAAATTTAGGTAAGCACAAGAGGAACATACATTACAGAACTCCCGGTGGTCTCAAAGTTTAAAACACTTAGGCAGGATTAACACAATCTATGGATGAACTTCAGGAAACATACTGCAGAGGTTTACCTTGCTGAGCTTTTTCTACATTGTAGTTTGCATCTTGCAGGAGTTTTGCAATGACAGATTCAATGTCTTCACCAACGTAGCCAGCTTGAGTCAAGGTAGTACAGTCACAGATAGCAAAAGGTACATCTAGGCATTTAGCTAGAGTCTGAGCCAGCAAGGTTTTACCTGATAAAATAAAAACTGTATGTTAGATGTGCCATATATTTCTTTACAGCACACAAAACCAAGTATTTACCATAGGATCATCTTTACAGTCATTAAAGATTTTGAACAATGCCAGCATGTTCACATATTCATATAAGAATATTTTTCCAAGGGAACTAATTTTCATAAACAGTATTTTTTTTATGTTGGCAAGTTGTATTCCTGAATTAGACTAACAACACATATTTGTGGCAGCTTGAAATGCATACTCTATCACAAATAAAATGTCACACTATATAAACTAAAATACATGTACTTGCATAGATTAAAGATTAAATAAATCAGTAGCCCTTTGCAGACACTTGGGGTGCAGTGCAAAGTCCAATTGCTCCTCCTTTGAAGCTGGGGAGAAACAAAATTAAAACATTTAGTGAATGTCCTCCCAAATAGTCTGCAAAATGCTATCACTTCAGCACAAACACTCCCTCTTCTTACAAACACACAAATATCATTTCTCTTTTAACCTCCCATAACTGATCTGTCTCAGAGGCGAAACACCACAAACCACAGCATCTCAACGTGCCATCTAAAGCAGAGAAACTTTAAATGTGTCTTGTTTCAGCTTAGTGAAACTTGCACCTTTTAATCAGTTAGTAAATAATACAGGCATTTAAAAAAAAAGAATTAAAAAAAGAATTAAAAAAA